CCCCCCCCCCCCCCGCAAACCTTCCTGCCAAATGTGCAAATATCTGCAGGAAGTTCCTATCGTCTGAATGATGTCAGGGGAGACCAGGGTTTTTCTAGAATGGTCACATGGTATAACAAATATGTGGCCAGAGGGGAGTGGGATGAATTCACCCAGTGATAACTTGCCACTTTGATTCACAAGAATGCCTCAAGCTCCAGATAAGACAATGAATCTGAGTAGCTGCTGTCAATACTATAATAACAACCACTTTTCTATAAAAGGAAAGTTTGGTTGGTAGAAAATACACTGCATTTGCCTTTTGGTAAATGGTTGATTTGTGATGACCATAACCATAAAAGTGACTTTGTAATACTACTCACAGTATACTTTCAAAATTACAAATGCATTGGGTCCAAATGTTTGTCTACTCCTGCCCTAATCTGTCCTCTCCCTCTCTTTCAAGTACCAGTGTTGAGCAATTGTATTTTGTGACATATAGCAAGAATGTATTAGGAATTATGCTGGTGTACCATTCAGTCCTTTGCTAATCACCATTTTTGCTTGAATCATAGAGGTTATTTCTCATTTTGTGTGGAGGATTCCCAGACTGCTGATTCAAGAGGACCTAGATTTCCAGGCTGAAGTATGTAGTTCAGGATGTTTTGATGCCATTATGCCCATCCTGGGAATATTTTTAGTCCAACAATACTATATCAGATAATAGATTACTGTAAGTGATTAAATTTTTTAAAGTGGCTAGGAAGACAACCCAAAGGTGTACACTGTACTCAAGTGACCCTGACGACACAGATAAACCTCCAGGTGGGCTCTCTAAAAGAATCCAAATGACCAGCTGTCTGCAAGGAGTATAAATCCTTCCATTCCCCACCATCCAGTCAGAGGTGAAGAATTTCTTGGATGAGAAGTGAAACATCTTCAAAGAAAAAGAAAAACAGGAAAGTCCATTGCCTTGTGAAAAAGCACCTTTGGGATAACTATGACCCGGATGATTGAGAATCTCCATATACATATAGGAAGACAACATTTCTCTCTATATTTTCGTCTATTCTTACACTGTAATAGTTTCTCAAGAATTCCAGTACACTGCAATAGATCTTTTTTTGTGACCCCCTGCCCTACACATTCTGGAAAATGCAAGAAAATGCAAATCAAATACAAATGATTGTACCCAAATGTATGTGTTTTCAGCAGTGCTTAGGCCACTTCTTTATACTGTAAACAACTGAAGCAAAATTGAAACAAGCTAGGAGAATCTATGAAACTTGTATCCAAACCAGAGAAACAGAGATTAAAGCTTATTATTCTGCTTATTTTGGGATAATGATAACTTTGTTACTTTTGTATAGGCATACAATAATGAATAACATCAAAATATTATCAAATTCTCTGAATTTTTTATTTCAATCTGTGTATTTCCCTATGTAAATTCTTCTGCATGTGTGTACAATAAGTTTATGCCATGTATCTAAAATGTTATTCACCTTATATAATAAGGATTGACCTGTTTAACAGTTACTGAATGTCCCTTCAAGATCTGAAATTCTGGAATAAATATTCGTGGACCTGTGTGTTCCATTTCCTGAAATATGTAGTAGTGTGGAAAAAAGCAGTTCCTCTTTTCAAATAAGCTAAACTCATGCACACTAGCAACGCATTAGAAAGTCTTGAAATCTCACGAATTTAATGACAAGCCACATGAAAACCAGAACACTCTAGAAGAAACACAAATATTACATTTCAGACAGCTATTAAACCTGTGCCAGAATATGATTTTCAAAACAACTGAGTTTTATATATATACTTAATTATGCATTCTGCTTCTCAAGGTCAAATTGTAGACTTAAGACGTATTTGCATAGCAACAAAGACTGGACTCTTGCATCAAAGAAGAACAAAAGGGACAGTCACTGTAGGGATATAAAGTATCTTTTATATTTTAAATGGCCCCATATTAAAAAGTCACAATGTAGTGTTCTGCCTGCCTTGTCTCAGAGAAATAGTCTCCTGTTCCACCAGAAGTCCTTTTGACATATAGACTGAAGAGCATTCTGCAAGAACGTCTTCAAATCCGAAATAAGGAATGTATAACCATGAGGACTACTGTCTGTATTTCTTTCTTGCCCGTGGTCTACTGTTCAAATATTTCCTATTATAGTTCTGTACAGTAATAACTCCTTAATTTATCAGATGTGTAATATTTGTTTGTTTTGCTTGTAAAATACAATGTATCAGGGAGTAGCAGACTTTTAATTAAACATTTTAGCATGTAAAATGATTTACATTTTAGTCAAGACGTCAATGGGAAGACTGAATTAATATCAGGAAAGCAATTGCGTGTTTTTCTAACTACTTAAACTATTCCAGTTCTAGATGGGGGAAAAACAGATAAGAAAAGCCTAAGGTATTTGAATTTATTTGCATATTTACTGTTTTTTGATAAGGGGATATGACTACAGATACATAGGAAAGGAACTACTTTATTAGTATTATTTTTGACAAGAATATGTGGTTATTCTCCAGATAACAGATGCACCTGAAATATTTTGCTTAATATAAACTCACCTGAGTATCAATTTTTATTAGTGCAATATCTGCTTTCTCATCGATATCTTTAATTTTAGCGTCATAGGTCACACCATTCTTCAACTCCACTTTCACTCTGTTCTTATTAGTAACCACATGAGCATTTGTAACAATTAGCCCATCTTCAGAAACAATGAATCCTGAGCCACTGGCAGCAGGAACTTCCCTCTTTGTAAAAGGCAACCTAAAAGACAACACCAATATCAAAAAGTAAATTAATTTCTGAAGATGAAAACAACCACCTGAATCTTTGATATCTGTACACTATTCTGCCAAGTTCTGACATTATTTATATATTCAGCATTTTCAAAGCCCACAGATCAGTACGTCTCAAAGGTGCTTTTTCAAAAAGCACCTGGACTTTGTTTTTCCTTGAAGACATTTTGCTTCTCATCCAAGAAGCTTCTTCAGTTCTTCAATTCAAAAGCAGCTTTTGGACAACCATGACCTGGATCAGGGGTAGGCAACCTTGGCTCTTTTATGACTCGTGGACTTCAACTCCCAGAATTCCTGAGCCAGCATGGCTGGCTCAGGAATTCTGGGAGTTGAAGTCCACGAGTCATAAAAGAGCCAAGGTTGCCTACCCCTGACCTGGATTATTGAGAATCGCCATAGACACAGATCAGTACATTTTTCCCAAAAAGTGAACAGTATTTAAGAGCATCGTAAAATGTTAATTCAAAATAATGTTATTTTTAAAATCCATATAATCAGCAGATATGCAGTTTGAACATCTTGTTTACCTGCGAAACAATTCTATATGAACCACAGCTGGTGCTATCTTCTCCACCACATCTGCGATAAAATTGTATTTATACCGCAAGCTGTTGGGATCTTCCTGACCTAGACAGAAAGAAAGACGGAAAAACCCAAACTATTACAACTGAAAAAGAAACAGCAGGGAAAAAAAATACAGACAACATCAAATGGTTTCCCCCATGTTAGATCTCTTAAAGCGATCCAATGGCTTCAATAAATTAAATGTTCATCCTCTGCAAAATAACTTGAACAGGGAATATGATGCTTCTTTATAGCTATACTGATTTCCTTGTTCCTATTATTGTGCTGCCAAATCCAATCTATCAATTTAATGAGTAGTGACTGAATGCCTTCATACCCAGCACATGTAAGAACCCTTCTAGTCTTTAAAAAACCTGAAATCTCTTTGATGGTATTAATGTTGGTGATGTTCTGTGTAAGCATCGGAATAATGTCAGTAATCAAATCCTTTTCATTTTATTTCCATAATATTCTGAAGGACCAGCACCTAGATATAACAGTTCAGTCACAGCTGCTGTACAAGATAATTAACAAAAAAAAAGTCAACATCCAAAAGCAGCCAAGGAAAAAGAAAACTTATCAACGTCTACAAGGCCAGCATTCCTTGCAGCATATAGAGAGAGGAAGAGCAGAGTGCTCTGATAATGAAAGCTTCATCAATTCTTTTGCTATTTTTCCTTCACTGGATCACCCAAGAATTATTTAAAATATTCATAAGTAAATGAACCAGTAAATCCCAATCAAATTAAGCCCAGCTGCCAGATTCTGGGCCAGGTCCAGTGGAACAATGTCTTTCATTTCACGTAAAGAATATTTGCATGAGAACATAATACCCATTTAGGAGATTACCTATAACCAATACAATAAAGGTAGTTCTTGACTTACAGGTTTGTTTAGTGACTGTTCAAACTTACAACAACAGTGAAAAAAGTGACATGTCCATTTTTCACACTTATGACCATTGAAGCATCCCCATGGTCATGTGATCAGAATTCAGATGCTTGGCAAGTGACTCCTATTTATGACTGTTGCTGTCTCCTGGGGTCATATGATCACTTTTTGCAACCTTCTGACAAGCAAAGTGAGTGGGAAGCCGGATTCACTTAGCAACCGTATTACTAATTTAACTATAGTCACTCACTTAACAACTATGGTAAGAAAGGTGTAAAATGGGGCAAAACTCACTTAACAAATGTCTCGCTTAGCAACAGAAGTTTTGGGCTCAATTGTGGTCGTACGTCGAGAACTACCTGTAGCACAATATCTGCTGGTGCTGAAGAGATATCAAATAAGAATCTTATCAAAAATCTAAGCAGGCTCCTGCCCTGTGTTTAACTGCCAGAAATACTCTACTGAAGAAGTGTCCAACTTTGGTAACTTTTAAGACTTGTGGACTTCCTCATGCTGGCTAGGGAATTTTGGAGTTGAAGTCCACAAGTCTTAAAGTTGCCAAGGGTGAACATTCCTGCTCTAACTATAATATTGAGGAAACTCCAAGTCAACAATTCCAGGTGGCAGCATTTCATTAGAGCCACTAGAAGCATGCTTCAAGTACCTTTTCTACCTCTTTCTCACTTCATGGATATCAGTTTGATAGACATTACATCCATCTTCAGAGATCTTCAGAGCAATCTCAAAAATGTAAAGCCGTAATTAATGACTCTCTCAGGAAAATACCTGATATTCTGAATTATTGTCAGAAGGACTGTCGAATATATGAGGAGGATTCAGAGAGAGAGGATCAGGAGCAAACTGAAGATAGATACATTATTTTTGTCAGAATAGTCACTGTCTGACTGATCAACATTCCTCTTTACAATAATTGAAGAGACCAGTGTGATTCTGATTTGATACAAAAGATAAGGAGCCAATCCTCTGTTCTCATTCATTTAGATTAATTCTACCTAAACATCAATTTCTTAGTTTTAACCACACAAAATTTTGCAAGCTGAAAAGCATAAGAGGAAAAAATTACAGATTATTGGTAATAGAAAAAAATTATATTTAAAATTATTATTAGTAAATCAAAATTTACTACTGATGTTTTAGAAGCAAATTGGCTACTTATCTTTGGATATTAAAGCTTTAAGTTCAATGTTATATAGGGGACAAATAAATTTAAACTAGCAGACATTTTTGTGTGTATGTATAGATGTATGTATATATATGTGTGTGTGTGTTTCATATATATATGTATGAAATATTGAAATACAAGTACAAATTAAGTACTGTATAATCAGTTATGTATAATTAGAGGATTCAGGGTTGTAGAAACTTAAATATTTACTACTGTGAACTGTGCATGTAGCAACCATACGCCCCTAGTTTTGAACTTGAAACCTATTTACTATTTGCCATTTCCTTATTTAGGCTTATATTAGATATAGAAATATTATGGGCCTCTTATACAAATGGTCAACAAACACTGATTGCCAGTATCCTGAATTCCAAATAATTGTTACAGATTCCCTCCATCATCAGCACAAATCAAATGAAAAAGAAGTATCATGGACTATGAAAATTTAGCCTAAATGTGCCAGCACTTAATAGTCTCCAATACCAAAAATGAGCAATCGTTTAATTGCATTCAATCTAAACACTATTTTATCACAAATATAAGGGCACTAGAGAGGCTTCAACTGATACAAATATAGAGAAAACCTCTTACATAAACAGGAAAAATCCCTTGCATAGGATTACTTGAGTGTATCGCTATTGGGGGAAAAATGGCCCTACTAACAGCAGAAAAAAAGAAAGGCTGACAAAGAAGCTTGGCAGCAACTGACCATGGCAACAAGAGCAAATGACTCAGCAACCTTCTGGAGATTAGTTGCGGCGTGTGTTAATGTTACTTGAAAAGTGGTTCAGTTTTTATTGTTGCTATTTTATCTTTTGGGCTACTTAATGTGTGTGTTTCTCTTTTGTTCTCCTTATTTAAATTGCATTTTTGTTTTCTGTTTATTAACACTGCTGATGAGCACTTTTTGCTTTCATGGTACTTTCCTGATTTGTGGTATACATTATAACTAAGCTTCCTTTATTGTGGTTATGAATAACTCTCAAGTATTCCAGAGAGATTTTACTCTCTTAGTTTCTCATGCAACTTCCTTTTTACCAATTCCCTTATTTTAGAGAAGTTTCCTCTTTTGAAATCTAATGTGTTGAATTACTTGCAATTTTTTTTAATTAATATATTTTTCTATTTAGGTATAAATCAGGTGAATAATTATCTAATCCTTCAGTCAGTTCAACAATACTCATGCTGTGATTGGTCTTGATCAGGAGTGTCGAACTCGCAACATCATGTGACATGTCGTGACTTTTTTTCCATTGCCGGCAATGGGGTGGGCGCAGTTTCAGCCTGACGCATCCGGCCTGCGGGCCGGCAGTTTGACACCCCTGGTCTAGATTGTCAGTTAGAGTGAAATCTCTGTTCTAGACCACAACTATTTAAAACATTTAGAAATATTGCCTATTTTTGTTGCCAGGACACCAATTGCTATAATTAATATAAGGATAATTAGGTTACTCATTACTCCATCACTTTAGATGACAGTTGGATTTAATTTTCCACTTTAATAATAATGGACAGTTTTTACTACCTTCTGACTAAGTACAGTACATTGAATTCTCTGTGTAAACCAATTATGTACACTGGATATAAAGCTATCAAATTCAACATAATTTCTCTAAACATTTCTCTAAAGTTCAGTACAATTATTTTCAAAATCAGAATAATTATTATTTCATTTTAAAAGAGAAAGAATCACAAAAATAAAATATTTTTATGGCCACTTGAAGATATCCAATTTATAGAAATTGGAGGTGAGGCAAAGAAGGATGCAAGCATAATTAATCAAAAGGAAAATAAGCTATAAAAACAAGAAATGAAAAAGTGCTAATGTTAATGGGAAAAGCCAAGAATGATGAACTTATTTTAAAAGCTAGACTACATTAAACAGTCATCTACCTTCTCAATTTCTCCAGAAGGCAGAACTAAAATTAATTGATAGAAATTGTAGGAAAGCTGTTTTCAGCTAAATTTTGGGAGATGTTTTATAACGGGAGATTATGGGTTTAGATATATCAGCTACTGTATATCCAGTATATTTACATTCTCCTCTATTCCTCTATAAAGTGGAAGAGGGTGACATTTTAGTTTTTGTTCTAAAAAAACAACATTTGTTCTCACAAAGAATGAAGTGACAGGTTAACTTATATAAAACAATCTAAATTAAAAGTAAGATTTATAGCTCTGTGGAAAGTGACAGACAAATAGAATTTATGAATTAGTTTGATTCTATTGGGAAGGTAACTTCTGAGGAAACAAATTATGCTTGTAGGAGCATAATTCCTGAGCCACCATTATTAAAGCAAATTAAGAATTATCCACACTTTTTAAAAAAATAAAATACATGACCTCAGACTGCAATGTCCTAAAATTGTTCTTTTTGTAATGTTTATCATTCTGATGTTCTGTTCTTACTTCAGTATTTTTTTATCCATCTTATCTCTTACAACTTGTTTCACTTCATATGAAAATGTGCATATTTTTCTTTCTATTCTACAATTCCACTTAAGAAAATTTAATTGATGAGATAGTATCAGAAATTCAGAGTTCCTAGTCTTGTTTCTGGCTAGACTGGTGCTTTTAAAATATTTAATTTTTGCAAAATAGACGATGAAGTCATAATGTTGGTTCCATAAATTCTCATACAGGAATAGCTTGGTTTTAAACAGGAAACAATTTCCTTGCTAAATTGTAAACCCACAGTCCATGATGTATGAAACAGCCAACTATCTTCATGATTATATAGACACAAACTGCTTTAGTAAGAAATAGCTTATTTCTAATTGATAATATTGTGAAGCATCACTACATTATCAACTAGAAATAAGCTATTTATCACTAAAGAAAGGGAGTCTAGAGATAGGTGTAGGCAATATAGTAGTTCTCAGTGGAATGTAACCACAGGTTTTCCAGCCTCCCTCAAAGTACTAATGATAAAGCTGCCAGAAAGTTACATCAGTAGAAGTATTTTAGAAGCATTTACTGATCTTCC